GGCGAGTTTTCAGATTTACAGATCTGCTGCAGCACATTGTAAAGTTTTCAGAGGAGTCCAGGCAGAGTTACAGTTTCTAGACTATGAAGGATCAACTGGGTGAACCAGTCTGCTACAGTGCCACCCTGTGGCAGAGCAGTGCTGCAGCTCTAGTTAGTTAAGAATGACAAAGACGGAAGCTGATTGTGGGTGAAGCAGATAAACAATGTGCTTCACTCAATCTGGATTTGGGTGTCTGTTTTTCCCCCAACAGACAGCATAATGTCATAATCCGTTTATTTTCAGTGCCCCTCGAGAATTTAGATTTTTAGACACTCTGGGGGTCCAGGAGGTTAATTAGAGGGTCCCCCAAGACTCCCTGTATTTTGCACCTTGCTTAAATGGTTATTTGCATTTCAGATTGATGGAGAATGTGCTGTATATGGCTCTATATGGCACAAAAAGGGTTCTGCTATTGTTACAATTCCAAGCTTGTAACAAAAGAAGAACCATTTTTGGTGCTTTATAGAACCATATAAAACACATTCTCCATTAATCTGAAGAACCATTTCACCATGCAAAGAACCACTATTCTAAATAGAACTATGGCCTTACTAAAGAACCCTTGAAGAATCATCCTTTTTAAAATCCGATTTTCGGAAATTAGATCCAGACCACATTTGGAGGAGGTTTGAAATGCGACTTCAGTCGGATTTTTACTCATGTGTCTCAGTCTGGACACTCTGGCAACTCCAGTCGGGTTTTAAAGTGTCTTTTGCATCACTCGCAACATGACAAACAACCACGATGTCCAATCCAGAGTGATGAAATGCTGGGATTGAAGAAGAGCTCCAAAGATTCATGATTATGAAGAGAGTTCTGAAGAATTTGGAGGGCGAGATGATGCTCCTCCATTGCTCCTGCATCCGCGTTTGAAATCCGCGTTACCAGTGTAGCTACGTAGTTACTGACTCCTACGTCGTTACCACGGAAACCCATGCAGATAGACTGGTGATGTCTGGACACACAAATCTGATCTGATCACTTGCAGATAACAGAGCAGACAGTCACCTCAAAAGATCTGATTTGAAAAACAAATCTGATTTGCCTGCAGTCTGAACACAGAGTATTGAGCTCGAGGAGTAATTATACTTATAAAATCCCTGTATGCTTCTAGGTTCCACTGCACGTCTCGTCCCACTGCCCTCAGTGACCGAAGAAAAACTGGAACTAGAACATAACTGAGGCTGATTTATTTCAGTGGCGAGACAGTCGGTATCTGCTGGCTTTATTGAGATTGAGATAGCCCAGCTTGCAGACGTACCGTCTGAGTTTATATCTGATAATGACCCACAGTTTATTGCTGAGTGTTTCCAGACACTCTTAAAAGATTTACTAACAATGACAAGCTCAATATTATCTCAAGATAACAGCGAGGAAGCGAGAACACTGATGAACTATCTCAAGAAAACTGCTGATCCCTTCATGGGCCTTGTGGCATACCGCAGAATTCAGTTAGCCAGCGGTTTTGCCGAGGCTCCACATCAGGGTATCGGCCATCCCATCCTTAGGAGGCCTGCTGGACGGAGCTCCATATGCTGAACATGGTGAAAAAAATGAGGAAACAAAGACTAATGAGACAGTTGAACAGATTACACCTCACCACCTCACCACATGCCACTGGCATCATAATTGCAGTCACATGGTCTCCACACTTGTGGCTCCACATGGACCTGGAGGCTTACCTGAACCTGAACATGAATACATTCCTCTGGTGGTCACAGACTGAAGTTCAGTCCATCAGACAACTAAGATTCAGAGAAACAACCAACAAACAACATTCTACCAGCGAAAGGACCCCCCCCACACACACACACACACACACACGCCCTGAAGAGTTAATCCCACCCTCACTACACATGTTCATGAGAAAAGATTTCAGAAAAGGTGTCAATATAAATAAAACTAAAACTTTGATCCATATTCGACTTCTAGATATTAACTCAAATTATTAACATGAAGACAGAATGAGTGGATTTAACCCGTCATTTCTCTCAAAGAAGATACAGAAAATATTGCAATATTTATACTTTATTATAAAGTTTAGTGTTTTTGTACTTTATTCCAGTATTATTAGATTAAGTAATTGTATTTATACCCCAGTAAATTTCCAAAAGAAACAGAATTTTTATTCCTTATATTTTCATTTAGACCTACAAAGTACTAAAATCTCAAAGAGCAGATTTCTCTCTTTTCTCTTCCCAATCAGTCCAGTTCCTGCACATTTTATTCATTTATTTTTTATCAAAACATTCAACCAATTCATATCACACTGTGAAAATGGTTTGTCAGTTTAGCTTAAAAACACTCTTAGTTTGTTAACTAGCAGTTAAACTCATTTAATTCAACTCAAATAAATGCACTGATTGAAACAATGGCTCATTTAGGTATTTATTTGAGTTTATTCAAAAGAATTAATAAAATAAAAGCACTTAAACTGCTAATTGTATCTGTATGAATACGCTGTAAGAAAATAGTTCATAAGATTAATAAAGTTACTTTATTATACGAACAGTTAAACTCTTTTCAGCGAACTCAAATTAATACTTCGTTTAGATGAACAAAAGAAACATTCATCATCATTCATCAACATCAATTCACACCTAAAAACACTTCGAGTCATATTCTGTTCCACTTTTTACGTTCTTCCTCTTTTGACTGAGTGAGATGTTGATACAGAACCAAAACTTTTTTTTTTCTTTTTTTACAGTTTATAAGATTTTTAGACCGTCGATCAGATCTGAATCAGAACAACAGAGCTTAAATAATCGACAGGTAAAGTGTCTTAAAGAAGTCTTAAATTATGTGAAAACATATTCAATACATACAGCAACACATACATTTTTAATGGAAAGTTTAGGCACCCCTGTTCAAATTCCTTTGCGTTGTTGATTTTCTGAGTGTAAATAAGTTACACATTGTCTGCAGAGACTCACTCCTGCACATTTTGACACAGCATTACACAATTATGCAAAAAGTACAACTTAACGCACAGATGAATAAAAAATAAAACTTAAATGTGCCATAATTTTTGCACAGTAATTGTGCATTAAAATGTGATGATGTGCAGTAAAACGTAATACGATCTCCTACACACACAAAAACATTCATAATAAACTGTTTACACTGAACAACAACCTTCAACATTACATTGATCGTATCTACATTACAACCTAACCATATCACTACCTAACCGTATCACTGCCCAACCATACCTCTGCGTAACCGTATCACTGCCCAAACATACCTCTGTGTAACCGTATCACTGCCCAACCATACCTCTGCGTAACCGTATCACTGTGTAACCATATCGGTACCCAACCGTATCAGTCAAACTGTTATACTGCCCAACTGTATCACTGCTTAACTGTATCACTGTCTAACCGTATCACTACCTAACCATATCACTGTCTAACTGTATCACTCCCCAAACTGTGTCGCTGTCTAACCGTATTAGAACCTAACCGTATTACCACTTAACCATATCACTGTCTAATCATATCACTGTCCAACTGTATGGCTGTATCTCTGCCCAACCATATCATTGCCCAACCGTATCACTGCCAAACCGTATCACTGTCTACTAGAAATTCTTACAAGCTGTTTACAAGGTAATGGAAGTTTGTTTATATTGAGTTCAGCTCTTGGCAGCTGTGACTAATAAACATAAAAACTCTGAATCAGTGTTTTAACTTTTAGAGTTTAATGAACTTTATTGATCTGTAATCTTACATATAGAGATCTAGTTAAAAAATTAAAAGCAGGAAAAAATTAGATTTTAAAGTTAAAGTTAGATAATCAGCTCAGGTTGATTTCAGCTCCGGTTAATTGCGGCTGTATCTGGTTCAAAATCTGTAATCCACATATTCAGCCTATTCATCAGTCGTTCTTGAAGTTAGTGTGAAAAGCTGAACTTTCTGTAAACTGCACAGAGAGAGGGAGTTTGCTGTGGGTGCGGTACACCACTGTCTTCAGCATGTCACGTTACCTTCAACGTCACGTTACACTTCAAAAATAGAGCCTTCCTTTTGTTCTGCTGGACGAGCTCGATGACTTAGCAGAGCTCTCTTTGAATTCTGTTACGACTGAGTTGACAAAGCGTGTCTGAATCACACCTGATCACCTTTTACATCGTTTCTCTGATTATATGAACACAGTGGCGTCATTGCAGACAGCGCAGGTGGGGCGGTCGCTCTGCAAGTCACAACATGGGAGGGCGAGTGAATTAAATTCTTTATCGAACCCTCATAACTGTATTTACACAATTCAACACCTTTAACTAACATGATAACTTTTTAATATACTTCAATTATTGTGGTTTAGACTAAGCAGTAATGAGTAAACAAGCATTACAGTGCAAGTTTTTAATCACTGAAGGGGGCAGATACGATCCTAGTTAGGTCACTGTATGAATATATGTGAACAGTTTTGATTTGTTAATGTGTTTAATTGTCAGAGTTTTTACTGTTAAAGTATGTTCCACATGGCACAAAACAGATACAGACAAATATTATTACAGTGACTTTATAGCTGTGAAGGGAAAAATTAATGTGAGCGTTACAACTGTCTGTGTTCCAGGTAATTAAAGTCTCTGATAAAGATTAGGAAGCGCCATTAAGAGAGAAAAAACAACAAGGTCAAAAACCAAGATAACATAAAGCACTGTAGACTGAGGGAAGCTCATAACTCATCTCTTATAAAAGTAATGATCTGTGAATACTTTATGCAAATTTCATGGAAAACCAAAAAAAACACTTATATTTCAATTCCAGTTTGTAACAATATATAAATACACATTACACATTATACAGCACTTCATCTAGTGATAAACAAAACTGAAACCAAACAGTGATTATTCATTATGTAAATGTTTCTATATATGCAAATTTAAACCTTATCAGAAATTACCAGCTTTAGGAATGATAGATCTGTGGTGCTGTATTTCTTCAGACACAGTGAAATAAGCAGTGGCAGTTTGAATCTACACTGTCTTTAAGCAGTGTGGGTGTAGGTGAACAGTTGCTCAGCTCTGAGGCGTGGTCAGTTACTGTATAAATGAAAGAATGTCTGGTGTTTCAGTAATCTTTACAACAAGAACACCTAAAAAAGACCCTGTCATGCAGAGCTCAGTTTTCTTCGTCATCTGGATGGTCTTCTTCAGCTCAGGTCTGGGAGAACCCACAGATCTTCTAGATTACACAGGAACAGATCAAGATCTACAGCTCGAGGCTCTCAAAGCCACTCTGCTGGAGAACCTAGGGATGGACGGTCCACCAAAGACCAAAGAAAAGACCTCTTACCGTGACCTGTTTAGACTGTACCATCAGTACAGGAACCTGAGGAGGAACATGCAGCCTCTCCAGAGCAGCTCCAGGTTCTTCTTGCCTGCTACAGGTAAATTATCGCATTTTATTTAAAAAAAAATGCCTTCAGTGAGTAAAAAAGTGGACTGTAATGTTTGTTTACTTATCATTGTATCTCAAGTTGGTACTGTAAGGCTAATAGGCTCATACTGAACAGTTCACATTTTACCCAAAACATTGTTTCTAACTGACTAACAGGTTTTGGAAAGGAAAATGCCATCTCAGATCATTACAGAGAAAAAATGACCAAATTATTGGCTTCCAGAAAAACAAAACCTAGAAGCACTTCACATCTAGAACATTTAAATTTAGTTCAGTACCAGTGTTTCAGAGTAGTGTAATACCTTCATTGTTTATTAGCTGATTAGATAGTTTAAAAAAGTACTCAAAGCTAATTTACAGAAACTCTACGCCGACTAAGATCGATTCTTATTTATCGCATAGTCACTCAAAAACAGTGTTTAAGTTGGACTCTTTGAAGGTGCTTTTAAAATTAGCCCGTTCCTAATCTGTTGACTAAAAATAAAAAGTCTATGGAATTTGGAATTTGTAAAACTTTTTAACCCACGAAGACTATATATATATATATATATATATATATACACAATATACATTATACATTTATACATTGACTTGGAAAAAAGTCTGGTTCCATTGACTTACATTAAAAGTAAAGTATGTTTTTCCATCTCCTGTAAAGATATGAGGTTTTGTGTGCTTTTAGAAGTGTACAGCACATTGAATTGCCACTGATTATGCATACTATATAAATTTGCCTTGCTTTTAATTTTATTACTGTACAGTACTACTGTATTACAATATGAAAGCTAACAAAAAAAGGAAGAAAGTTGATAATTTCTGCAAAAAGACAGGTGACATTTATTAAAACTACATACAACTGAAAAATATAACAAATACAAATCAATGTGTTTAAAAATATTTTTATTAATTCATCTTTTTGCCAAACATATATTTGATAAATACATTTGGAATATATTTTTCTTCATGTGGGTCTGCCTGTGACCCTCACATAAAACCAAATGCAGTAAAAGCTACATCCGAACCTGAAGTCTTCCATTGTTGCTGCTGTTGCTTTTGTTTACCATCAGTGCCAAATTATTGTGTGCAATCATGAGAAGAGAACCCTGCCTACTTTCATGGCAAATGACGCTGGGGTTACTTTCAAAACAATTCTGACATTTACTTCATTTAGTATCAGTTGGCCATGCGATTACACAATGCTTTCCCAGTATGTACCACACAAAGTGAATGATCAGTTCACGATCAGTTCATGGCTGCGGACTCTTTATACATGCCTCATACTGACCACCACCTGTGCTACTGCCTTTGTGATTACGGATATAGATAAGTTACAGATGAGATAAGATGATGAAGATAACATTTAGCATTTTGATATGAAACATAAGAGTATCATGTTATATGAAGAGCCTTTTAATGAGAGTTTAAAAAGATCTGCACAAATTGAGTAAATGCCCTCAGACCCCAGACGGTTAGAGTCTGAGAGGGGCTGTAAACAGTTTTGGATCCACTCAGCGGTTCTCAAGCTTTTTCAGTCTAAGGCCCGATTTGTGGACAGTAAGGGTGTCTGCATTGTTGTTAAACATCTGGGCCCAGTTTCCCAAAAGCGCCTTAGGGTTAAAATCAAGGTAACTGGTAAAGTGAGAGTTTCAAAGTTTCAGAATCATCTTTACGCTAAGATGCTTACAGAACACTCAGCCCTAATGAAGATCAGGTGTGCTGGAGCTGCTAGACGGTGCAGAGCTCGCTTCTCCATGAGTAGAACCACTATTCTACAGCATCACAGAAAAGAGCCTTTTTAAGAGCGTAGGCATATCAGCACCACATTTTATTCTGAAAAGTTCTGTGCATCATAGTTCTATCATGTTTTCAAATGAAGCTTAAAATTATTTTTGGATAATTTAAATATAATTACAATTTTCTTTAATAAAAAAAATCAACAGTAACAAAGTTTTTGCCAGAAGTAGATAAACTGAAAGATTTATTATTAAAGTGGAAATAATGTACACATTTTGGTTGTTTCTTTGAAAAGCATCGGCTGGGGACAGTTGGAAAATTAAGAGGGATTTTTAAAATAATAATAATAATAATAATAATAATAACAACAACAACAATGTCTAGAGTAGTTTTGGTCATAGTGAAATCTGTATTGTGATGTTTCAGAAAGAATAAACATTGTTTTTTATTATTTTTCTTCACAGTTCAGCCACTGAGCAGTCAGCAGGGTCAGAGTGGGTCAGAACCGGTCCAGTGGTTCAGGGCCGTGTTCCACAGAGACACTCGCGTTACAGAGGAGTTCACTTTGGGATGCGCACAACTGAAACTACAGACACGACCTGCAGGCGACAGCTTCAGCCATCCAGCACTTAATCCAAACATTCTGATCAGAATTCACAGGAACTCCAGTTCCCTCACGGAGACGATCTTCCATATGGAGCTTTTCAACGCAGAAGGACACAGTGTGACTGTGGAAGTGACCGCTGCAGTGGAGAGATGGTTCACTCAGACCAATGACACGGTGTTAGTTGTTGATGTAGGTCTTCTTACAGGAACACCAGAGGCCACACCTGAACTCAGTTTGGAGTTGGAGCAGCTGGTCAGCAGTGTGAGAGAAGCTCGGTCAGCCAACGAGGACGACGGTCACTGCAGTCGGAAATCGCGCAGCGTGTCCTTTGAGGAGATTGGCTGGTCAGACTGGATCATCGCTCCTTCTGGATACACCATGTTCTTCTGCGACGGTTCCTGCCCACACAACTACAAACCGGCCAGCATGCACACGCAGGTGAAGTCTCGGCTGCATCGCTTGACTAAAGGAGCGACTCCTCGGCCTTGCTGCGTGCCGGCCGCCTACGAGCCCATGATTTTGATGCACTACGACAGTCGAGGAAAGCTGAAGCTCACATCCTTCAATGATCTGATAGTTAGCAAATGCTACTGCGCTTAAATTATTATGAAGAAAACAGAACTGCACTGAAATTCCACATCAATGTAATGTCTTATATGAACACAGTCAGTGCGTAGCACTGTCGCCTCACAGCAAGAAAGGCCTGAGTTCAATTCCCTGGCTGGGCTACCAGGGTCCTTTCTGTGTGGAGTATGGAGCATGTTCTCCCTGTGCCTGTGTGGGTTTCTTCTGGGTGCTCCACAGTCCAAAGACATGCAGTCAGGCCAACTGGACACGCTAAATTGGCCCTAGGTGTGTGTGTGATTGTGTGGTCTGTCCCTGCGATTGACTGGCAGCCTGTCTAGGGTGTTGCTTGCCATCCGCCCAGTGAGCACTGGGATATTCTCCAGCACGACCCACGACCCAGAAGGATAAGCAGCTTAGAAGATGAATAAAATGATTGAATTACAGCCTGGAAGACAAAGTTGTGTCGACACATTTTATTTAAATGTAAATGTTGGGTGGGTAAATTCAACACAGCACTTTTCGGCTGAATGAGAATTATTATATAAGGAATATTACAACGCTCAGGAATGATGCAAACAATGTTGAACTGATTTGGTTACATTCCTGACATTCCTCTACAGGGTTAAGCAGGTAAAAATAGCCTGGAGCAGAAACAGAACTGAGGGCTCAGTATTGGAAACAGAATAAACCTTATATTCACAGTATTTATTGTAACTTATTTGTGACAGTTTGTGTTTTTGTTTATCTCATGTTACAAGCCAGTAAACAATTTTTTTCAGAATATATGATGGGTCTGAATGGAATGTTTGTTTATAAATCTGTATCACCAAGCATTTCAATAAAAGTAATTTATTTATATGTTTATGTGTCATATTATCTCTTTTCCTGGAAAACACTGTGAGAGTGACGTTTACTGAAGCACACTTATGCTGTTGTGCAGAAAGGCAACCTTACATAACTGCATTCAAAGGATCATATTTTATGACAGCATCTAAAGGTTAAGAAGTGCCATAAAACAATGACGGATATGACAGACTTTCACCCTTGAACATAATTATTTGCACCTTAACATGGCCTTGAACGTATAAACGCAGGTGATAATTAGGCACTTAGTGTTTCTCAGAGCTGAATGGAACTGTACACGGTGACTATCATTGCAGCCCCACGTCACTTCATAACCTCTGGAGAGAGTAAATACTCCCAGCCTCCACACAGCACTCATTCATTCACACCCGTACAAAACATTTCTACCACTTGAATCATGACCAACAGCGATTTCAGATGTTTTGATTATCTTTACTGATTTATATTCCTCTGGTAAATCATACTAATCGCTTCATACAGAATCTGAAAATGTATTTTTACTTTATCTGTTACACTCTAGACATGGAAACTCTGTTTTATCTGCAATCAAACTGAATGACAATAGAGCTGTTACAGCACCACACGTGCGAATGATGTTTTGGCTCATTTCTCAGGTGAGGTGATATGTTTTTTGTCCATGTAAAGTATGCATGTGTCAAAATAACCTCAGATATACTAGCATATCTACACTCCACCACCCACAGTCTGATCAGATTACTATTTAATGAAAAACAAATCTGAGCACCAGAAACTCACCATAGAAATCTGAACTGCCACAGAACTGTACCTTATAGGTTGACAGCTGTGTATTTCTAAACAGCTAAAATATCAGCAGGACAAGATTTTCTGAAACTCAGACTAACTAAGCAGTGTTCTGGAGAAAAGCTAATAGTGTTTTCCACTTATAACATCTGTGAGATTTTATGTACCGAAAAACAGCCATAATTAATTTCACCATGATGATTTCCCAGCTTCTTTTTATCCCTTACAGTTAAACAGGCTGTTTCTGTTACTGTGCCTTTAAGACTGATATATGTAAATGAGTTCTGTTCTGATTGTTCTGTTCTGACTGTTTCAGTTTCAAAAAGCAGTCTGGCCTGAAACTTCAGCATGAAATGGGCGGAGCTAAACTGCTGTAGGCTGAATAGGCAGATAGATGTAAATTTGTTGGTTTTTTTGTGACATCATAAATGAAATTAGGCTGTGGTTCCAGATTAGTTTCCAAACATGGACTATAAAGAAGGAGTGAATGTTTTTAAACTTATTTGCAACAATATTTACATGGACTTTAGTGCAGCCTTCAATACAATAGATCGTTATATTCTAATGAATAGACTTGAAAACATGGTCAGTTTAGATAGTTTTTGTTTTGTGAGCACATAAGACTGCAATATGGTGTTCCACAAGGCTCTATTTTAGGGCCCTTAATGTTTTATTTGCAGCCTCTTAGATACACAATTCATAAACACAGTGTTGCCTTTCCCTTTTACGCTGATGATCCTCAGTTGTACGTGTTCAGCTCAGCCAGACACAATGACACAGTGACACATAATGGAAGATTGTGTTAAAGATAAAAGTCTGGTTAAGCAGGAACTTCCTCCTAAACTCTGATAAAACAGAAGTGTTGCTGTTGGGTTCAAAGTCCATTTGGAATAAGGTTTAAAATACGGCACATTGGTCTGGGTTTTACTTCCAGCGAGCTCTGGTCCAGTGCACGTGTGGAAGCTATCTGCTCCTGGCGCTGCATGTGGGGCTGCATGAGACTCATTTTGTAACCCAACTGCTTCGACTTACCGCGTCACTTCTCTTTTCGCTTACCTTCCCTTTTTTGCACTATTGTGATTATGTATATGCATAATAAAACCAGTTTCATAGGACCGGAGCAGGTTACTGTAATCAGCTCTCCTTTGTGGAATGAGCGTGTGTCTTGTGCTGCTTGCACAGCTCAAGCATTCAGGATGAGTGTGGTGCTTTCACTGTATTACTGCACTCTAATTGAGTTTACATTGACTTCCTGTTTAGCTCCATGTCAACTGCAAGATTGTTTATGACATTTAAAGCTACGAATGTTGAAACTTCCGATCTTTCTAATCTGCTGAAGCATTAAAGCGTCCAGATCACTTTTGTCAGATGAGCTGCTCACCACAAACTCCGAACATCTCACAGCTCAGCTGATGGAACTTATTAATTAAAAACACATTATTGATTAAAACACATTTGTTCAGTCTAGCTACTGCTTGCAGGCTAGGTTTGATCCCCCTCCCAGGTGCCTGTGCCTGACCCCGGTAAAAATTGTGACATCACAATTGAAATTAGGCTGTTGTTCCAGCTTAGTTTCCATACATGGACTGTAAAAAGGAGTGCAGCCTTCAATATAATAGATTGTTATATTCTACTGAACAGACTTGAAAACATGGTCAGTTTAGACAGTTTTTGTTTTGTGAACACATAAGAGTGCAGTATGGTGTTCCACGAGGCTCTATTTTAGGACCCTTAATGTTTTATTTGCGGCCTCCTAGATACACAATTCATAAACCCAGTGTTGCCTGTCCCTTTTACACTGATGATCCTCAGTTATGTGTGTCAACTCACCTAGACGCAATGACACAGAGACTGCTTGCAGCATCTGCCAATTGCTGTAAATGTAAGTATGAACTGTGGAAATATCTGTTTGTAATCATGCTGTTTTGTCTTTCCAAATGTTTTGCTGATATTTGAGTACAAAAGCACTTTGCAACATTGTGAATGAAATAAAAAGCGGTGTATAAATAAGGATATATAATTATTATTGTTGTTGTTGTCATTATTATTATTATTATTATTATTATTATTATTATTGATAGACATTTAAATATATTTTATATTAAAAGCTTTCCTGAGTGATTGTTTCAGTGGTGTTCATCTATTTTTATAATGTCTGACATCGAAACACCTGATATTACTGTTTTGGTCAGTGTGGTTGGAGTGTCACATTTGGGGATTTGGAGACCTCTCTGGTGGAAATGTGTAAAACCATCTGGCATCTCCGACATTTAAATGGTTATTTTAGGCTTTACAGGGCGACTCGCAGCACCATATTATTTTTTTGTCATGTTATTTTTATTATTGTTAAACTTCTAGTGTACTTGAATTTCAGGTGTATTTTTGGGATTATGTTTGCATTGTCCCAGTCAATGAATCTTTCACAGCTTTATTATTAAATAAACCATCGTTATTTTACTATTTCAGCACAAAGATCAGCCCAAAAAACTGCTGTGGTTCTTTTAGATTGTCTGTCACATCTGTTTTGATTTTTTAATGTACTAATGAACACTGTCCTTAAATACGAAAAGAGTGTACACATGTAAGAATTTAAAATGATTTACTAATACATTTTAATGTAGATTGTAAAACATGAAAATGATCAATTTTGTAGACAAGTTAACATTTTTTGGAATAAAATTATCACAAATCTAGTCATTTCTAAAATAATGCAGAAAATGTTCAATTAAACATGGTTCAGGTTCACAAATTTAAATTTGACTATTTCAGTTTCTGTCCGGTTTATTACTTTTAAGCTGCTGAAGTGTGTAAAGTGATATTTCAGTAGTGTATAAAGACTAAAATCATTATCAGTGTGAAAACTGCATTTTAACTCTTTAGACACTCTAAGGCTAATCTGTACCGGAGCACATTTAGCTACAGAGCTAATCATGCAGAGCTCAGTTAGAGGGACTCTATATCAGTTAATTTAGATTGGGAAGTAAAACTTTTGACAGAGAAATTTGTTTTTCTTTGAATATGACAAGTGATTCCAAACTTTTTGTAATAATGTACAGCGATATTTTTTCCCATTTAAAGTAATTTGGCTATAATTTTACGTGATAATATAATTGTAGTTTATCCTAAAACAATGATATGCGGAATTTATTTTTGAAGCAAAATATAATTTATTATTGTTTTATCGCGGTGAGAGAGGACTTTTATTGTGTTGGATTGCAGTGTACCGAATGTTCCGGAAACTGAATACATGTAGTCTGGTTGTTCACTAGTTTTATAAACATATGTGTAGCGGTTTGATTTCATAGTCTTAGCAACAAAATCAAGTAACTTATAAATAATGTAAATTATGATAAAATTTTAAAACATGTATTTTGTCCGGCCTATATAAAGGCGGCGGGCCTACGTCACTTCCTTTCTCGTCTAAGCTAAGATCATGGACGCCAGCCGCGTGCAGCCCATCAAACTCGCCAGAGTAAGATTTGATCAAATAAATGAAAACCGTGTTATTCATATTTACATCTTACTGTGTCTGCAGGCTGCTTAAACTCTTATCTGCGTTGTTTTGTTGCCGAAGATGACTTTGAAGTGTTATTTTGGTCGGTTTTTGTGACCGCGCGGTTTCAGCAATAAAGGCCTCCGCGCGGTGGAGCTTGATAGTAGAATAATGAATTTATTTGAATGTTTTTCTGATTATGAACGGATTTTAGACTCCAGCTAACCTTAATCTCCCATCAGTATGTAAGTTAGGCGTTATTTGCGAGGTAATAGTTGGCATGATTTTCCACATATCCGTTCCACCTTAAATGGTCCTGCAGTTGTATTCTGGCGCCTCAGGCACTCTAATGTAACTGCAGGGCCATTTAAGGTGGAGCGGATAATTATAAAAAGAAAACCAGTGTCTGCCTTTGTGTTCGTTTCTGAGTAAAGCAGTTTCTGCTGTGAGTTAATTCTGGCTTCTGTTTCAGGTGACTAAAGTGCTCGGCAGAACCGGCTCTCAGGGCCAGTGTACCCAGGTGAGATCCATCACAGCTCTATAACAGCAACGTGTTCATCATTGATCAGTTTATAATGAGTCAAGTATAAGCCTTGGTAAATGCAAAAGGAGCTGTTTTATGAAAAAAAAACAAACTTTGAGAGTGAGCTGAAATCTGTTGGTGTGCTGTTTAATTGGTGGGGAAAATGAGCATTTACTATAAAATAATTGACTGTTTTGTCCACATTTAACACATCTTTCGGTTTCATGTCCCGTTGAAGCTGTATTGCTCAGAATTTGGTGTACATCTGGGGTGTTATCACAAAAACCTCCATTACAAAAATAATGGAGTTTTTTGGGTATACAGATTAAGCCTTATGTGTGGTTCCCCAACTTTTCATTGTAGAATCTAGTCAGTTTTTTTTTATGCTGACTTAAGTATATTACACAACTTCTGTGCAATCTTGTTACAATAACCACAACCATTTAGGTGTGTATTGTGCCGTTATGTTTTGTTTAGAAACTTAAGACAAATTTATTTATGCAGCAGTTTAACCAGTTAAATTGTTAAAACATCAAGCAATAACTCAATGAAGGAAAATGAGACACCACAGATCTTGGAAGTAAATACCTTAGAGAAAGGTGGTGTGATTTAAATCTTCTCAGAGTAGAGGAGGACTTGATGAACTGTTCAAGTGTTGAAGCTAAAAGTATTTTCTCCAAAAAAGTTAAAAGTAGTGTAAAAAAAGAGAAAGCAGAAATGAGAAACAGATGGACAAATTGTGGTAGTTTGGGTTTGAGCTTTAAATAGAAAATCAAGATATTTTTGCTTTAATGCAGCTTTAATACTAAATTGAAGTTTTGTTTCACACTCATTTGAGCATCTTTTATGAAGTTGCAGCTCTTAAAGACCAGCTGCTCTCTTTACGTTTATTCTAACACAGGAGTGTCAACTCTGATCGACAGAGTCCCAGTGTGTCTGCAGCTTTTCGTCCCAAATAAGTGGGAGCTCCTAATCAGTCATTTTGCAGAGACCAACTGATTAAACTAGTAGGACCAGGGTTAAATCTGCTTGTTTGTAATGAAGACCTGCAGACACACTGGGACACTCTGGATCAGAGTGGACACTCCTCTGTTCTAAAACTGACCATGAGATTGTGTCATACATTTACAGCAGATATGCAGTAATACAGAAACTGTGAATGGGCTGAGCTGTTCACCAGCTGATTTGTAGTAATTCCACCATCCTGCAGAGTTTAATGCCTTTTTCTTGATCTAATGATGCTGCATCTCCTTTATCTAATTTTACTGCACCTGACCCAGCCAGTCAGGAGCTTCTGAAGAGGTTAATTATCTGGAGCAGGTGTGGCAGATTATGGTTGGAACTAAACTCTGCAGGAAGGTAGAAACATTCCTTGGTTTTTCTGGGTTGAGGTTTGAATGCTGAACGTAGTGTGATTGTTAGCGTTGTGGTTGTGATGGTATTTGGTTGCTTTTAATTGGTCAGACTTGCTTACAGGTGGCGTAAAAGGTTCAATTTACCCACTTAGTATGATAATGTAGGCTATAATTAAAATTTCAGACTTCTGAAAATTCAGCTCTAGTTGGGGGCAGAGGACCTCGGGACCAGGATGAAGAACCCCTGGTTTGGTTGTGCTTTAAAATGTTGGAGCACTGTTTTGTTTTGAAAGTTTCAGATGGAGCCAGGCTGTTGGCTACTTGTGTTCAGTGTTTGGTCTCTCCTGCAGGTTCGTGTTGAGTTCATGGACGACAGTAACAGATCCATCATCAGGAATGTGAAGGGCCCAGTCAGAGAGGGAGATGTCCTGACCCTTCTAGAATCTGAAAGAGAAGCAAGGAGGCTTCGTTAGGTGAGCAGTCAAAAACACATCCCACCGATATTAAGTTTGTTTTTGTTTTTTAATGGTTTTGTGTTGTGTTCAGATCTTACTGCATACAGATTATATTAATGAATTTTAAAATGTGTTCCAGTTGATGTTTACTTTGAGCCGTTCAGCACATTTCACTGTAAAAAGCAGAAATTGCTGAAGGTGATAATGAAGTGCGATTAAAAGCTGTTGCTGCTGAGTGATGCTGTTCTCATCAAATGCTGCAAGATTACAAACCCTGATATGGATGTTCTGTATTCAGGGTTTAGATATTGTCATTGGTTTAATAAGGATTGTAAAAGACAATCTGAGTTAATGCTTCGTTCTGCAGTCACTGCTGTGCCTGTGTTAGGAGCTCCTGGTCAAGATCCGCTTGTGAACAAATTCACTTGTATTGAGAGACGTTGAGTCTCAGGATTAAATCAACTTCCTTATTACTCAACAGATTTCCATCATCTGTTTTGTTATAATCCTCAGGCACAGATTAATCTAGGCTGCCCGGACTGCTCTCGCTAGCTTTTATCTCTTTAATAACTGATCGTGCTAATTAGTCGTCCGGACCAGCAGGATAGTATTCACTCTGCAGCTGACGTTAAAAACCAAGTTTAGCACGAGAAACACAGACACACATCAGCAAATCCATCAGTGTGTGAATCACTTATAATCTTAATACACAAAAATAAAATACCACCCCCCAAAAAAAAAACACAGTCAGAAGGCTGAGGCTAGAGCTACTTGTACAAGTTTTCCCGTTCCACCTGAAATGGTGCAGCAGTCACTTTCTGGTGCCTGAAGGTGGAACGGGAAAATTTGACCAAGAAGCTGGCAAATAAGAAGCTAACGTCAGGTTCTAACGTTAATCTATTACGTCTACACGGATTAAGGAATGCTATAACTTACCGCTACAAAGCTTTAACCATCGTTATAAATAACTACTACATTAAGATCCCCTGAATAGACTATTAAATGAAAAGCTTAATAAAAAAAACAGAGGAAAAACAATCAACAGGTTCTCTGTGCCTCACCAACCACACGGCCATATCTACACACAAATATCACACAATACACATTACACAGAGCTGAGTGCAGCTCGCTGCGTTCCCTCCGTTATATAATCCTATCCCATTTTCTGAGTGCAATATTCTTGAAATAGAATTTTGGAGTATGTTGTGCACATCTGCAACTTACTGAACTCTAAATGTATCTACGAATAAAAATAAGATGAAAATGAACACACCACTGTAAAGGAAAGATTTATAACAAGAGAAAACAGCATTATTGTGAAACTGAATGCAGCACAATTTCGGTGAGTCTTATGTGGTCAGTGCAGTAAGCATTATTCACATTTTGCTCACCTCATAGACCTACGGAGCTTTGTTCTAATAACCTTTTGTCTCAGCTTTGAGCTGAGATTGTTCCAGTGTTAATGTAGTAATGAGCAGTTCTCTGCAGTGAGGCTGCTGGTTTGATTGCAGTCCAGTGTCGGTGTTACAGAAACTTCTTAACTCTGAAATCTGATCTGTTTAGTGTCCATGACGCCTTCACTCCAGACTGAATTTCGGACAGTAGCTATTCCAGAATAACAGTTCCTAACTTCATAATCTCATCAACTCCAGATAAGAAAACAGTATCGCACAAACATCCTAACTAGACTAAAACTCCTGAATACTGTCCTAACTTTAGGATAAACCCCAGCAGGGTCCTAACTTCTGTTTGAGGTCCGTTTTTATGGTTTATGGCTCTGCGTTTTAAAAATCTCATGATGATGAAATATTACAGTGATGGTGGTGAATAATGAGGAGACTGAGCTGAACATGTCTTATTAGGAGGAATAACGTTAGCAGGCTAAAGCGTTTGGGGAAATGGAGACTGTGAAATGGTGACGCTCTGAAACAGCAGGGGGCGCTCTCACAGTATTCACAACCTAGTTTATCACACTTTAGTTTAAAGATTGTGGTCACTCTTCACACAGTGGGGATTTTCAGGTGTTAAGCAGCTCAGCTGGACACAGTGTGGTGAAATTTCATTAATACAGATATTTATTAGAATTCTATGAACTATTTAAAGCTTATGTTAATCAGGCTGTGTTGAGTGAGTGATATGACTTTGTTTCTCCTCCCAGTGTGCATTTGTGAAGAGCTGCAGTGATGGACCCCCTTCCCGAATGGCGGAGAGTAGAGGAGTTAACATCAGCCCGCTGCCAGCTCTTTATTCAGACGTGTGCAGATTGAAATAAAGTTCTTTCAAATTTAGATTTTTTTTTTTTGGCTTTTGTATTGTAGATCTTACAGGAGTATCAATAAAAACAAACAGAATTTCTTTAATCAAAAACATTATTTAAATGTTGGTCTTCATGGTGAACTCAAACAAACTAAAAGCCAAATTTCTTACTGTTATGAAAAACAGTTCTGGGCCTCATTCAACAACCGTCTTGCTATTTCTTAAATCCCACTTATACCATATTCACAGATTCTGACATTCACCAATGTCCTCTTATGTGGGATTTGTTCTTGCGTAAGAACAGAATCCACACACTCAAGAGCACAAAGGTGAGAGCAGTTCTGCGCTGTAAGAACACGTCATGAATCTGATGCAGACTTTCTTAGGATCTTTCTCAAGAACACATTTAAGAACAAACTTTGGGAGATATTGGAGAATGTGGCCCTTTAAATTTAGTTTGTGGACCAAAACATGATCAGAGTTGAGTGAAATTTTAAAAATCCACAAATACAGATTGAAGTTAAACAGATTCAGTGTCTTAATGGAGAAGTAGGTGAGTTCAGATAAATTTGTGTACAGATTAGTCTTAAATAAATACTAATAGCTGTTCATACATACCCAGATTAAGATCAAGCCTGAATGATTTCTGGCAGTAGTTCATCTGTGACACAAATGTAGTTTAGGATTAGGCTTAATCCCTCCCTGGGTTTATTTCTGTTTATCTGTAGTCTCAGTTTAACACTGGTTTAGCTAAACTCCATATGGCAGATGGACTGTTGCTAGCTTGGCTGTGTTTAAACATGAATGAGTTGCAGTTTAAGATGAACCTTTTAAAAATCGCACATTTGCCACTAGATGTCGCTGAATCTTCAGTTTAACAGTTTTTGTAGAACCTGACAAATGTGCAGTATTAGGTTGAGGGCGAAGTTATTGTAACTGAAGTTTTTAAATGAGTAGCCTCTTATTAATACAGCACAGCCAATCTGAGAAGAGCTCGTTTACATATATCAGTGTTCGAAGTTCAGTAACAGAAACTGCCTGTTTAACTAAGAGGGAGAAAGAAGCTAAAAATGATGTAATCATGAATTATGAGACTTTTTGGTACATAAAAACACATGACAAAATATAAAATATGGACTATTTTATTTTTTTAATATTTAAAATGAGATCTGGGCAACTATCACAATAGTATTACAATAAACAGGAACCATGAATGTAACAAACAACACTGAAGATTATCAAGACAATAAATAAAAGGAAATTACAGTATCTAAAACAGAGAGGGAAAAATATATATAAAAAAAACACATCTGAAAGGGAGCATCAGTTTGTCCAAAATCTAAAAAAAGGATGTATAACTTTTTCACATTAAGGCTTTTCATACATCTCAGAGAGGAGAAAAAGAAGGACAGATCGTTTTGAAGACTGAAAGGCTGGTGGGGATGTTTTCAGAAATACTGCTTTGTGAATAAAGATGTTACAGTTTATTAGGGGCTCAGTTCTCCTGTCTTTAAAGACCCCACAAGTAAATGTCCTCACCAGTGAACATCCATTTCTAATAACGCTGTACTTGTTTAAATGAAGGCAGTTTGATGGGCATCTTCTGGACAGAAAAATCACACCATAAAATTCTCCTAATTTTTTTAAAAAAATGATGAGGGAAACAAAACCAAAAACTATTATGGGACACTAAAAGTTTTACCCATTTAATTTTAATGGCATCATTTGTCAGATCTGTTGCTTTAAGACCACCAAATTCATCATCTCCCACCAAACATGATACGACACAATTTTATTAATTGAATTGATAATTGTATTTGACTAAGCTGGGTTAATAAATCTAGAGAGATTTTACATTTTTGTCGCATATTTACCCGAAAATCAGTATTTCTCTTTTCAACCACACATTTAATGTAGGTTTACATTTATCCAGTATTTTTCCAAATTCAGATTATCTCAGAGGGATTATTTGTACTGTGGATTCCAACATACTTGACGGTCGTTTTTATGGAATTCCACAAACGGACACTAGAGGGCAGTCATGTTTGGTGAATAGTTCACATTTCTTCGAATGTAGTTGTAGGCCTGATTCTTTCTAGTCTAAAATCTGCAGGTGGTGAAGTTGTTCCACCAAACCAGTTTGGAAGCAGTTGAAATAGACTTCTGGCCTCATCAGCTTTGTATCCTTTTTGTGTTTATAAAAGAAGTGAAATGACCCCAAAAATGCCCCCAGAGCAGCTGTAGCTATTCAAAAGCTCCTCCCACCTTCAGGATACATCATCAGAAGGTGGTTTAGCCTTTAAATTGTAGAATCTCTCTCTGTGGACTTCAGGACATCTGCATAGTTTTAAAGAGTCAAAGAGAAACTCTGCACTCAACCTTCACTCAGTCGCTCTGATTCAGACCTCAGTTTCAACTAGTTACAGTCCTGGACTGAATGAAGGTGGTCTGTAGTTTGAACAGCAGCAAGTGAGGCCTTTTATCATAAAATATCATAGCACAAAATGTAAAATAAACATATCACAAAATATCATAAAATATAACAAAATTGTCGCAAAATCATAAAATATCACAAACTATGAAAACATCAAAAAATATAAAAATATCGTGAAACATCAAGTATCAAAAAATATTACAAAATATCAAACAAAATCAAAAATATCATAAATATGACAAAATGTCATAAAATACCTTAAAATTTCACAAACATATAAAAAACATAAAATATTACAAAAATATCAAAACATTACAAAATATCATAAAAATCACAGCTGTGATGATCTAACACATGAGATCCAGTCTTCTATTACTTAAATATACTGTATAATTAGTTTATTATTGTTTAGATTTACATTATTCAACTGAAATGTAATATGAATATTAGATTTGCCTGCCTTGATTGATCTATCTGTATATCTGTTTAACCAATTCCCTACTACTGGCTATTTTGGTGTAACTAACATTACTATATATATATATATATATATATGTATGTATGTATATATATATAATGAATCAGTTCACTGATGACTGATTAATTGTTATAGTTAAAATGCTCATTTAAGGCATTCTATGATCTATATGACTCTGTAACGACAAGTGTCTTATCTGTTCTGACTGATTTCTACAGATCCACTGATAAAGAAGAATATTATCTGTCTCTATTTACTAACATAGTTTATAACAGGAAATATCAATGAAAACAATAACATTCCTAAACTACATTATTTCTCCTCGTTACTCTCTGAGTTCTTTAACGAATGCTGCTGTTATTGTAAAGTGATGTTTGTTGTTAGTGGTCAGTGCAGAATAACACTGATCGTCCAGCTGCTTTTCAAGTTCTTACCTGCCCAGGTGCTCCAGTGTTCACTGAGGTTTAATTTAAGGAGCTGCTGCAGGTGCTGCAGATGTTTTAGCGAATGATGATCCAGATGTTGCTGTAGCAGAACTACTGGAGAACATTACACTTCAAAAGCTCTTCATCATTGAACGTCACGTTATCACAGATTGCTCTGTGACGTGTGCTCAGTGTGCTTTATGGATCTAAAGTGTTCTTTAGGGATCTACAGTCTGCTTTATGGATCTAGTGCAGAACTCTGTTGGAGGCTGCTGAGGTTAATGGTGTTCCATTCAACTATGCTGTCGTTCCTCTGTAAACGTTCCAGACTCGTTTTGCTTCTAATCTCATTAACCCACATCAGTGTGTAATCTGGAACAGATGCCACATGAAAAGCTCTCCCGTGCCTTAGCGTGTAATTATGGATATCAAAATATAATCTTTTAATTGTGGTCTGACTGTGAGGAGGCCTGTGACCGAGGAGAAGGAGAACGCTTTTGCATCCAAATTAGATTTCAGATGGAACGTTCTCGGCCTGTGAAAGGTTCAAACCCAACTGTGCGTCCACCACCAGCAAACCAGAAGAGGACTTTCTTCTCAGGAGAACAAAGAAAGCTAAGAGGCTCCTGAAAGATTTTGGCCTAAAACATATTTTGAAAATCCATTTTTGCATAATATCATCATAAGATTCAGAGAATCCAGAGAAATCTGTGTGCATAAAAGGAAAAGACTGAAAACCACAAATTAATTCAGGTGAACTTCGACACCTCACACGGTCCTGAGGGGTATAAGTGGAAAACCTGCACATCTGTGAAAGCTCAATTAATACTGAACACATTTTGGAGCAACATATTGATTGGAACAAAACTGAAACAACACGAAAATGGAGATAAAAGGTTTTGTACAGACAGCAGCAACATGCTGCCTTTTAGACATCATCTTTTTCAGGGATGTCTATGTTTATTTCAACATGACACACTGAGAAACATTCTGCACAAGTTACGGTGGCATGGCTGCGTAATCAGAGAGTGCTAGACTGACCTGCCTGCAGTCCAGAACTGTCTATGACTGCAGAGAAAGTAAAAGTACCTTCAAATAAAACTACTTGAGTAAAAGTACAACAGTATCAGAAAAACTACTTCAGTACTTAGTAACGTATAGAACCGCAGTGAAACTTCTTAGAACATCCAGCATCTCAGAACAGGAGCTGAAGACTGTACGGCCCAAATTTTCTCTTTTTTGGATTATTTTGGTCCAAAATAAAACGCTGAAGGTCTAAAGTCAGAGACGTGAATTTAAACGCAAAATAGTAACTAAAAATGAAAGGGAAAACACTCAAAGAACCATTTGCATGCTTAAATGGTTCTTTGCATGGTGAAATAGTTTTTCAGGTTGATGGAGAATGTGTTGTACACACACTTAAAAAAGATGGTTCTGCAAGGGTTATTTAGTAAAGTAAATGTTTCTATATAGAAACCTTAACACTCATAGAACCATTTGCTTGATTAAAGGTTTCTTTGCTTAGTGAAATGGTTCTTCAGACTGATGGAGAATGCATTGTATATAGTTCTATATAGTGCCTTTTCGAAAAGGGTTCTATTTAGCACCAAAAGGGTTCCTCTATTGTTACAAGCTTGACATCATTACTACAGAAGAACTCTTTAGGTGCTATATAGAAGCATATACACCACATTC